CACACACACACACACACACACACACACACACACACACACACACACACACGGCTTTCAGGGAGTCATTTTAGAGCCCCCTCCTTAGCTCTGCTAATACTGATATGGAAATAAATGTGTCATATTCTGCGATTAGCAGAATAAACTCAATTTTAATAGTGAACAAGGAAAGACAACAATCAAACAAACAAAATAAAAAAAATCAATAGAAAATTAGCTGCACATGCTAAAGGTACAGTTTGTGAGAACAAATACTGTAACAAAAGGCTGGAAATCAAAACAGAAAATTAAAAAAAATAAACACATTGCAAAGATTTAGTAGATATTAAGTAATGGAAGTAACACTTTGAAACACGAGAGAGGAGACAGAATTTGAGGAAATATTTAAACCAATCAAGAATGTAGATTTAATGAAAGGTCCATGTTTACATTTGTTTCTTTGTCTTCTGGTAAATAAACCAGGTAGTGGTGTACAGGGTAGCAGGACTGAACAAATGGAGCGATTAGAAATCACAATGACGTGATCGTTCAGCTGCATTTGATGCTCCACACATTAACCAAAGTATAAATTGCACTTGTTGTCAAATGAGCACACAGTTTAACAGTACATTAATAATCCACTATACATATATCAAACTACATTCAATGCAAAGAGAGAGAGAAAAGAGGAAGCGTGAGAAAAAGCTGTGGTATTGAACTTTGTGCGGTGCATTGGCTGGGCCTGTCAACGCTCAGGCCATCAGTACTTTGTTGTCATAGTGAGCTTTTTGACACACAAAATTAAATTAAATAGACAAACCACTGTAAGGCCTATAGTCTGAATTAAATGCACAGTGAATACACACTGGTCTGTTGTTTTTTTTTGTAAATGACCAACTTCCTTCACACCGATCCATTTGCAAAACTATTACATGATGCCTGAGGATGATCCAAAATCCTTCATAATGTCAAGAGCGACACAGCGGAAACTGATGCCAAAAGCCAAAACAACTGAAAGGAATGCCGTTTAGAACCAAAATGCCTTCATTTAGGAAGTTATACAAAAATAAATAATTACCTGCAAGTAAAATATTGAGACAAATACGCAAATGTATGCGCAGAAAAAATTGTTACATACATAAAACCCCAACAATAATAAAGAAACCTGTCGTGTAGTTCTTGCCACTGGTAGAGCGCATCAACTGAGCTGTTGTTGACCTGCTATCAGATAGCACCATTATAATCTACGTGCATCCAATCTTGAGAACGATGAGATGAACTGTACAATCAAACAGAAACCACATGGGAATAAATCCTCTTGAATCCACCTGTGGTTGCTGCTACATCACAACAAAATGTTGGTGTTTGACATCTGCCCTGACAGCAACTCATCCATGCATATTTCTAATGTTGAAGAAAAGAAGTACTGTGAGTATCACCTTGCATAGCACCTACTATGTCAGAAGGCAATTTGAAATGAAGAAATATGAAAAAGATGGATAAACTATGTTGAAAAATAAACCTATTGCTGCATTTCTTGCTCCATCTGATATGGAATGTGACATAAATGGCCACCAGTTAGACTGCGGTGTATTAATGGTAGTTGACCAATTAACTGTCAAATTTAGCTTTTTTTTTTTGCACTGTGATACATGTTTTCCATATGTTTTTAAGACAATACATGAGGTGTAAAAGAGCAGCGTAACGCAACTGAAATAGTTCTGTTCAACGTGATCTGCCTCATAAAATACCAGCAACAGTATGTTCGGCTTAATCCGATTGTTGCTCCGTTCGAGCTAAATGAACCCCAACGCTGAAACAATGGTTAATGCTTTCTTTAACACTCGCTCAAATCAATACTGGTTTTCAATATTTAAGAAATCCAGAAGTAATAAATGGTGTACATGCAGTGTACTGACAACACTGTACAACTATCATTCCATACAACAAGTCCAGAATGAACAAGTTAGCATATTTGTTACAACGCTGGATGTGTTTTGAGCAAACAATATGAGCTTCTTCAAAAACCCATGAGTAAGATCAGAGGCAGTTGAGATGGATGCAGTCTTCATACTGCACGCTCAGGTGAAGCTGTAATGCTATTTCAACATTGTATAAAAAAATGATTCAAATGAAAAACAGTGCGCGACGTGTGTGTCCTTTCAATACTCTAACAACTCACTTTTTTTTAACTTTTTTTTTTTTTTAAACCAAACTTAGCTTATACCCTCCTGAAATAAACACCATTCTAATAATTGAAAATATGATATAAAGTTGTACATTTCTGATAAAGGAATGAATAAAAGCTTGAGGCACCAAAGGCTATCATACACAAAACACAAACAATGTTAAAGAATGAGAAGAAAAAAAAGAAATAAACATGATCGCATTCTGTTAACGCTCTCAGTAGATCGTGAAGCTGCCTGTTTGCTGAGGCAGACGCTCCCGGCTGATCTCCACGGAGATCGATGAGACTCTTAGCGACTCTCCTGCAGAATCCATTGGCGGGCCCCGAGAGGGTCCATGGCAGGCCTGTCCAATCTCAAATCCATGCGAGCCTGATTTATTTTCCCCAACAGTGCAGCGAGCCTGCTAAGTTCTCCCCTCTTGTCCGGAGACACGTGGGTGTGGGAGGCCCAACACCGATGATGATGATGATGCTCAGCCACATGAGTGCAACAGTGAAGACCTGCTGATATCATACCCTCTGCAGGCATCACCACAATAAAGCAACAATAACCAACAGCTTTACTTTCTGGGGGATTTTCAGGCTACCAGCCATGGCGTGACTCCCTTGGGAAGATTAAAGGAAAGCAGAATTTACTAATTTAGAGCTCTGGGGTTGTTGTTTTTTTATGTTAGTGTTGTTTTTCCTCTCTGCAGAAGCCGTGATGCAACCACAAAACAGTGACATGTATGTACAATACATATAAATATAGTTTCAGTACTACTCATGCTTTTGCAGGGTCAGGGTTGCAATGTTCTATTTGGCACAGTTTTTTTTCGTCTTTTAGAAAATGGTGCTGTATGAATGAGCGGTGAGCTTGTTGACACCAAACAACACAGAACACCTAGCGTTTGGTGTTAGAGAGCCAGTCCAGATCCCTCCCTCCTCCTCCACTTCATCCTCCTCCTCGTCTCCTTTCACCCTTTGTGAATCTGGCCGGGCCGTGAAGCTCCAGTCCGAGCCATGCAAAGACTACAGAGACAAGTTCTGCCGCCAGCCAAGGATGTGAACTCCACCACGATGTGGATGTGAGAAAGCGGACACACGTCTTTTTTTTTTTTTTCCCCACAAGGTGATGTGAGTAGAAGCAGCTTAGAGCGTGAGACGGTTATCTCTTTTTGTTTCATTGTACACATAGACTTCTTTTCTTTTACACATTTTTTTTTCCCATTAAAAAAAACTATAAATACCATAAAAGAAGCATTATTTACAAACTCCATGCGTTTCAGGTTAGAGCGATCACTGCAAGAAAAAACACAGGAGAGAGAACGACATGAAGATGGACATGTTTTCACATTGTTTCATGACTGAGTTGTACAAGCTGGTTTGACACAGCCAGATTTTTCACACAACAGTCAAACGTTGTTACGACGTATTTCACAGAAAACCCATGCAAACATAGAGAAGCCGAAAAATAACAGAGTGAACAAAATATGAGGAGCACTGTTCATGTCAATTTAACAGGAAAGAGTAACTGAATCCCATCAACAAAAGGTCTGAAAATGCTCCTTTTACTGCAACTGTAGCCTTATATTTTGTTCACTCCGTAAATGTGTAGGTAACCTACTGAAATGTGTCATACAAATGTAGTCTTACCTTCTGCCAGCATCCAGGCATTGGTAATCCATCTGGGCCCTGTTTAGAGAAAGGAGCAGGGAGGGAAAAAAAACCATGAGGACTGAAAGAGGAATGGGAGGTTTGTTGTTAACAGAAGCCTCCAAACAATAAGCCCAAATCACACGCGGAAGATACCGCAAGCAAACTGAAATGAACCTCTTCATAGGATCTTTACGTAACAGGAACTTAACCTACAGTAATGCTGTACCATCCTGGAGCTACACAAATGTCAATATGACGCTGCTTGTCTTGTATGTCGTCTTAATCATTAATGCAGACAACACATTTTCTCTGAGCGCTGTGATAAAATCATATTGCATGTAATGACAACTGCAAAAGTGTATTCTTATTCATGCGCGTAACACACAGCAAAATATAGCTCATGCACATCTATATGTTGATGATTCTGCCCTCTGATTTTATTATAGTCGCCCCTCAGTTGAGTTGCAAAACCATAACAAGCTGGATTTGAGGACAATATGACAAAATCAGGGGATTTATCTGAAAATAAAGTTATTGCAGCTGGTGTAGATGTAATTCAATAAGATGACATTTGTGATATGAGATGGTTTCTTACCTACTATACCTCATTTCCTTGTCTACACACAGTACACAATCACAATGGCCTTTTAAAATGAGTTAGTCTACTTTAACCACTAATAGTTCCACCCATAATGTAAGAACTTCCATGCATTACACATCATTGTTTCAGAAACACAAAGCATGACATTTCTTAAAATGTGGTCATCTTGAATAGGTCTGGAGCAATAATCAGTTTAATCTATTGTTGTTCCCTTGTTGTCATTTTCTGGCCCCTTATCGTCATGGTCTGGCCCAATTGGTACAACTACAGGAAGGGGAAAGGGGGAGTAGAAGAGTGGTCCATGGGGACTAGTAAAGGAATCTGTGTTAGCATCAGGTTAAAAGGTAACTAGTCCATGAAGGGAATCAGCAGGAAGGAAACAGGATTTGTTTTGTTCCAGTTTTAATCAAGAGAAAGGAAGGATTCAGTTAGAAGGATAGATTTAAGTATCAAGTATATCAATAGTGATAAGTTTATTTTGTGTATTTCACGAGTAATGATGTGTATTATCTAAAAGAGGCTGCTTGCGGTCAAAAAGTTAGTATATTAAGGTAAATGTTGGTGCATGTTTGTTTTGTTTTTTAACACTAGATGGAAAATGTAGTTGTGATTAAAATAAGGTGTGTTCATGCCTGTCAAGCTCTGAAGTCATGCATGGTTTTGTTTCGCTGAAGGTGAGGGGCATGCATGGGTAAGAGGTGGAGGAAAAAGAGAAATACTGTACCAATTGGCACGGGGCATCCAGCCCGTCCAGACCTGGCTGACCTGGTTCCCCCTTTTCACCCTTAAATCCCCGGAAACCCTGTTTGCAAAGATGACCTAGGAGTGTTACTGGGAGAGAGGTGCATGACCCTTAACCCCTGCATCCGTCCACTACGACGGACACAAGGGGGGGAAGACTAGCTGCCCTGTGAGCTTGCTGATACCACAATCCAGCCCAATTATATGTTTTTCAGCATTTAATGCCATGTTTTTGTGTCTGAATTGCAGTTACAAGAGAGTAATGGACTCTGTGTTTCAGGTTGCTATGGTCTTGTGGACGCTGGGTATCTGTTTAGCCACAGGGTGCTCATCCTTGTTCAGGGACGACTGTTCTACACGGCTGGGGAGGCGATTTCCAGCTTGGGACATACCAATGGGCAGGGTGCATCTAATCCAGGGGCACCCTGTTCTCCTTTCTCGCCCTTAGGCCCTTTTTTGCCCTTCTTTCCCTTCTCCCCCTGTGGATACAACGTTTTGGTCAAGTTAGCATCATTTTTTTTTTTTTTTACATTTGGGACAGCACTGATGATATTAGAAGGGGTGTGATTACAAAGGGAGTCTATGGCTCACAAAGGAGAAAGACACATGATCAACGTTAGGGGAAACCAGACAGTAATGGGTATTCCAAAATCATTCCTTAGGGCAGGAAGAGGACGAAAAAGGGGAACATTACAATAGGAAGGAGTAAAAAACAGAGCTGATCGCTAAAAGGGGTGTCAAGGGCAGGAAGGATGAGAAAGAGAAGCAGGGAAAAAAACCTCCAGGAGGACAGAATTGAATCCACTACACACTGGAAAAGTTGAAACTGTATCCCTCCAAGTTTTGGGTTAGAGTTCTTTTTTCATTCAGAACATGCATGAGGGAATAATTATTGCATTTCTCTTGATTGTCATTCAAATTCTGTCATCCATAACCTTTCAAATTCAGAATTGACCATATTTGGCGACCATTTTCCAACGCAAAATAGATCCCAGCACTGAGTCTGTTCCGGGTGTTTAGCAACAAATGGAACAGAAGCAGCGCTGGGATCTATTTTGTGTTTGGAAAGTGGTTGGAAAATACAGAGATTCACAGAGAAGCAAGAACGCCAAATGCAAATCGTGGGTTATCTATTATTAGGAATGGGATACAGTTTCTCAAACAACTAGGAAACACATTAGAAGTCTTAGTAATCGTGGAAACATACAGATTAAGCACTGAAAAATATACAGTAAACTACTGTACACACAAAATGAAGATGAGGTTATCAACAGGCTCAAGTGCTCATGGAAGTGACATGTTTTAAGTATGTTCATGCATGAAAACAAATGTGAATCTTAAGAGGCTGTTGTCAATGGACTTGCGTGGTCGATCATGTTGAAGTCACTTCTTTTGATGCCTCAGAATGAGATTTGACTTGTTGATTTTGTGAAATGAGATGACAAATCATTCAAAAGTGGAGAACAAAGGTTTGAGAGAACTGGGGATGATATTTTATGCAAAGGACATATGTTATATCGTATGGAGTTGTTATCCAATTACTTAGTTAAACATCTTTGATGAGTTACTCTCTTAAGAAAGCAAAAACGATATTGATCTCTAACATAAGTAGTTCATTAAAAGGCATAAATATACATACATTTTATACATTTTAATTCAAAATTCCTGTCAGCCACACTATTCCTTCCAACAACCATATACACTCTGATCTGTGAATTACAGATTAGGAGAAAACTAAAAAGTAAAATACCTCTGTAGCTCCTGTCACTGTCCATTGACATCAGTCCTCATATGTTAAGGGGTTGTCAAGCCATATTATCCTATCTACCTTATCTCCTCTTTCCCCAACGTCGCCTTTCTCTCCCCTTAAGCCCTGCAACCCCTGTAAAAGTGCAGCTCTACTTAATTACACTGGCTTTACTATATGCAAAGACAAGAGAGAGGGCTCTTGTCCTGACAAAGCTGCAGGAAAGACATCAGGATCAAACAAAAGGAAAAGAGAAAGTGGAGGGATGTGCAACAAGAATAGATTATGTACAATACGTCGCAGGCTTTTAAGTATAGAAAAAGAAAAGCCGAAATTCATCCGAATCATTTGCAATAACATATCCACAGAAAAAACAAGCTTAAAGCAATTTGACACTGGAGCTGTGCCTTATTGTCGCTCACCATCATTGGTAATTATTTGATCTAACCAGATAATTATTGAAACCATCTGCCTCGCAGTTCGCGCTCGGACAATCTGAAGAGCCGCAATGCATTTTGGGGCGGTTGAGTTTCTCACACTCAGACATTCTTGCTCATCTAGTATACCTAGTAAACATAGTATACATCGAGGTATTTCTAGCCTAAACAA